CCCCCCCCCCCCGCCTCCCCCGCCCCCCCCGGCCGGGGCCGTCCGATCGCACTCGCTGCATATCAGAGGCTCGGCGCGGCGCGCTCCTCCTCGCTCCCGCTCCCCACTCCCGGGATGTGTCTCCGCCGTACGACGGGCTATGGCCACCACGACTTCCGGGTTCCGTCATTTCGTTCTCCCGCCGCCGACCCGCGCCGCCAAACTGAGGCTCTTCTATAAGCCAGGCAGCAGCCAACCTGCCAACACCTACTGACACTCACTCATCTCCCAGAGAGAGAAAGAGAGCGCGAGAGAGCGAGCGCGAGAGAGCGAGCGCGAGTGCGAGCGAGCGAGCGAGAAAGAGAGAGAGGGAGAGACAAAATACCTACCAGGAAAGGGGGGGAGGAAGTCCAATTTTTGCAAACTATTCAATTTTTTTTTCTTGATTTTTTCCCCTCTGCTTTCTTTGAACGATACTTTAAAGAGAGAGGATCATATTATAGATACCGCGGGGGCCGAGCTAAAAGAGGGGGGGAGGGGGGAGGAAAAAATTCAAGAAGCAGAAACCCCTCGCGGAGTTTTACTGGAAGAAAAAAAACGGGTCTGAAAGATTCCTCCTCTTCATCATCATCAACCATCATTCATTCACTACCTTGACATTCCGGGCTTTGATTGACAGCTGGAGTGGCAAAAAGCCATGAAACACGACAGTTCGGTTACATGTGGGCTGCTGACGGGCCGCTCGTAACCTTCAGTTCGGGGGCTTGACAATTTTTTTTCTTCTTTTTCTTCTTTTTCTTTTCTTTCTTTCTTTTTTTTTTTTCCAACTGAGGGGAAGAGAAGAGAAAGAGGGGGAAAGGAGGACCGAAGAGAAGGAGGAGGGGAGGGGGGAGGAGGAGGAGGTGGAGGAGGAGGAGGAGGAAGATCAGGAGGAGGAGGAAGAAGAGGAAAAAAGAGAAAAAGAAGAAATATCACAGAAAAAAAAAAACTCTTCGTTGTCTTGCCTGGGCTTTTTTTCCCCCTTAAAAATAACATATTGGAGAATTGGGAGAAGTCTTTTTGGTTTGGAAAAAAAAAAAAAAAGGAATCTTCAGCCTAGATCACTTTCTTATCCGGACTGGGATATTAAATATACGACACATCCAGGAGTTTATTGGAGCGCAGACTGATGGCGCAAAGGGTAGGTTTAAATCTCCAACACTTACCTAGATATAAATCCTCTCTTAAGAGGGGCCTGTCCCGATGCCTCCTCTCCCTTCAACGCTGCCGCCGCTGCTCGCTGCTTGATGATGGCGGCCAGTATTTAAAAAAATAGCAGCAAAATTATTCATCGGCTTTTCCCCCCCGTGCCTCTGCGTGTGTGCGAGTGTGTGTGCGTGCGTGTGTGCGTGTCTGGGCGCGCGTGTTCCAGCGCTGTGCGAGCGGGCGGGCGGCGAGTGCGTGTGAGTGGTGTGTGTGTGTGCGTGTGCAATTGTTACACGCTTTCGCCTCGCTCCAGCTTTTACCCCAGCAGCGCGATTCCCCCGGTTCTCCTGCCGCCGCCGCTGCCGCTGCTGCGCCGCTGCCGCCGCTGCTCCCGCGGCTCGGGGCGGGCACGGGCTGCGTAGGAGCCGCCGCCGCCGCCGGGGCCGCCGCTGGGGCCGCGCTGCCGCAGCCGCTGCGCCGCCGCCTAGACTAGCCTGGGCTGCTTGTTTTGTCTCTGAAATTGACAAGGACGCAGGGAATCCGCTGCTAAATAATGTTTCTGGTAACTTTCACGTTATTCCCCCCCCTCCCCTCCGCTCCCTGCCCCCGGGGAGGCACTGGCCCCAGCCTTCCCTCGTCCTCGGCGTTCTCCTCCTGATTATTAGCGTTTTTCTTCTCTTTATTTTGTTTCATTTCGCCTTTTGATTTATTGGATCCTCGGGAGGAGGCGAAGGGGGGTTAGGGGTGGGATCCGGGGCTTCCTCCTCGCACTAACTGCACTTCTCCCTCGGCCGGCTCGCTGCGGCTCTGCGGCCGCCGGCCCGAGCGGGACCTCCCGGCGCCCCCTCAGTGCCTGGCCTCGCCGCCCCCTCTCCCTGCTCGCAACGCCGCTCTTGGTTCATACTTTTCTCATCTTAAAATTTAAAAACATCCCCCCCTCCCCGAAACTCTGAACTCGTTGTTTCGGCTGGTTTGGTTTCTGTGTGTTCAACTCGCGCTCGGTACTTTTTTTCTCCTTTCTGACTTTGTTTTTATTTCTCTCTCTCTCTCTCTCTCTCTCTCTCCTGCCTGCCCCCTCTGCCCTTCGCCTTCCTCCCTCCACCCCTGCTCGATTCCTTTCCCACCCCTCTCCCCGCTCTCTTCTCCCGTCTCCTTTTTCTATCCCCCCTTGGCTCTCCCTCACCTCCTGCCCCCCTCCCCCTCGCCGGGTTCCGACAGTACGATGAGCTGCCCCATTACGGCGGGATGGACGGAGTAGGGGTGCCCGCGTCCATGTACGGAGACCCTCACGCGCCGCGGCCGATCCCCCCGGTTCACCACCTGAACCACGGGCCGCCGCTCCACGCCACGCAGCACTACGGCGCGCACGCCCCGCACCCCAATGTCATGCCGGCCAGCATGGGGTCCGCTGTCAACGACGCTCTGAAGCGGGACAAGGACGCGATCTATGGGTAAACCGACCCCCCGCTCCCCACTCCCGACCCAGCGTACTGTTGTGAGTGCGAGTGTGTGTTCGTCTCTGTGGGGGTTCAGGGGATGGTAGACCAAGTGGGGAGTTATTTCTGCGGGGGGGGGGGGGTTGGTGGAGGTGAGGGGTGGGAACCGCTTGCCTTCAGAAAGGACAGAGAAGGGGGCCTGCTCTTCTTCGCCTTAAGTGTAAATCCCCGAAAGATAAAGCGTCCTCCACCCCCACAGCCCCGTCACTCCGGACCCCACAGCCCAGAGTGACTGAGTCCTGAGAACCTTGCCAGGGCCTTCTCCCCAAGGACGGGATTCCTGGCCAAAGGACGCAGAGCTGGTCCTTCCAGGCCCCCCTAACAGAGGCCTTGAGAAGGAGAAAGTTTCCTGCCGATGAGGAGCAACTTTGTTGTTTTTTTTCCCCCCTCTTCTGTTTCCTACCGAGAGTCTGGGAGTCACTAAATGCAGCTTGAGCTGGGATCAGGGCTGCTTCTGTCGGCCAGGAAGTCCTAATCACCCACTTCTTAATTCTCTGTAAATAAAGGGGGTAGACCTTGAAGTGCAGCGGGGTGGAAGGGACTGCCGCCTGCACAGAGCTGCTCTTAGGAGGAGGGAGGGAGATGGCTGGAAATTACGTATTTTATATTCCGTAGAGGACTCGGGGAGAGGGATGGTGGTGCACGGTCCAAAAGTGTACCTCTCGGGCTCTTCCAGTGGCGAGTAGGTGGGGAAGGCGGCGGTTTGCCGAGGGGAGGGGACGGCTGGTAAACGGCCACTGAGCCTGAAGCCAGAGGCCGCAAGCATCCCGAAGTGGAGCTAAGCGCCCGGAGGAACACAAAGGGCAGACCCGCACGCACACTTCCAAGTTTTAACAGTCGATTTATTTATTTTTGCCTGCTGGAGAAATGTGGTCTTTGGAAGGAAGCTCTTCGGCGTTTAACATTCCTATTATTTTCCTGCCCCCCCCCCCCATCCCCGGGCTTTACTAGAAGTACAGCAAACAAGTTTATAAGGCAAGGGGGTGGAGAGGTTGGAAGAGCACTCTCTCCGATTTAGATTTAGGAAATACCACTTCGGGTGTCTGTGTAGGTGAAGCCTTCGGCCTCCTTCGAAATAACCCTTAGTATGGAGAGTTAAAGCAATTTTTAGAGACTGTCTGTAGTGTTCCTTTCTTGAGAGGTCAGGGCTGGGTATGGGGATGGTTCTGCGGCCTCTGTAGTATGGGGATTGGGTCTAGATCAGCTCCGGGCTTCAGACCGCCTGATCTGCTTGCATGTTTCATTATTTCCAACTGGGGCTCTTCTTCCTTGGCGGGCTGCAGTGACCAGGGGCTTCTCCGACCACATCTGAGGGACTCCTGAGCTGAGGGAAAGGGCCAGGCCGTTTTTCCTTTCTGTTTCTGGCCCAGGCTCGGCTGACTAAGGAAGGGTTGTAAAGTGTGATGCGTGCTTGTTTTATGAAAAAGGAATCCGAACCCTCCAAACTTGTTGATTACAGTTCTTGCTCCTTCCCCTCTGCACCCCGTCTCCGTGTGTGTGTCTCTGCGTGGCGCTGCCCGTTAGGCACCCGTTGTTTCCTCTGTTAGCTCTGGTCTTTGAGAAGTGCGAGCTGGCGACCTGCACTCCCCGGGAACCCGGAGTGGCCGGCGGAGACGTCTGCTCCTCCGACTCCTTCAACGAGGACATCGCGGTCTTCGCCAAGCAGGTCCAGCCTTCTTGACCCACTCACCCTCCTGCAGACCCTCACTCCCCCCTCCCCTTTCCTCAGAGCTTTACATGAAAGAGGAGGAAAAGGCAGGGACACCCGATCTGTTCCTCTGGCCCAGTCCGCGCTCTACGCCTCCCCATCCCTGAGCCTGGAGGCGAACTGGAAGCGGAGATAAATATGGGTGTTTGTTTTTCCCCCCAGCCAGGAATACGGGGGCTCGACCCTCGAATTAAAGTTGACCTGCTCCTAATCTGGGGCTTGGCCTTTTCCCCCGCCTGCAGCTACTTGAACAAGAATTGGGGACAGGGGTGGTGAGGGACCCGAGAGTGCCTGGGAGGGAAGGAAGCCGGGCGCCTCGTGGGGCGGTCGGCCCGGGGCGCTAAGGTGAGGGAGGCTGAGAACTACTGCCCCTTAGACGTCTGAATTAGGGGGTACTCGGCCGGCCGGGAGAAGGGCCCTGAGTTTCCAGCTACAGCTCAGCATTTCCGGGTACCCCTTAATGGGGCTGGGAGTAGGAGGCCCCAGTACTTTTTCAACCAACCCTACTATTTTAAGGCACTAGTTTGTTTCATGAATTTTACCAAAGCCTCTCTCCTCTTCTCGGGCACTGACTCTCCGCCTTACCCACTCATACAGTTTAGTCTGTGACAGGGGTTTCCTTCTTTCAACTTGGGGTGGGATTTCATGTTGACTTCCCCTGCTTCTTACAGGTTCGCGCAGAAAAGCCACTTTTTTCCTCAAATCCAGAGCTGGACAATTTGGTAAGGCTCACTGTTGCTTCCCTTTCCGCAGCCTGGGCCCCCTCCCTTGCCTAGAAGCACCCACTTTCCCCTGGAGCTCCGGGGAGTTGGAGCAGAACCCTCTCTGGAGCCTCAAGAGCGACGGGGGGAAGGGAACAGTTTAGAGCCCCGGAAAGGAAGATGGGAGGTAAGGGGTGGGGTGGATGTCGGGGAGAGCGGAGGCCAGCGAGCAGCAGGCGGGGACACGGTGCCCTCAGTGTGAGCAGGGGATGGGTCCCGGGTCTCGGCCCGGGGAGTGAGGCTGTGAGAAGTGAGTTATTTCCTCTGTTTGCCGGGGTAGGCAGCCGAGCCCCCAGCAGCTGCCCCGAAGGAAGTAACCGCTGGCCCAGGGGAGGGCGGGCGGGGAGATTGTGGGGGGGGGGGGGGGGGTTCTGGGGCAGGCCTGCGCAGGCCACTTTTAGGTGCGATTCTTTTGCTAATTTGCACAATTTCAATATTAAAAGTACTTAAATCCGCTTTCAAAGGCCCTGCCTCACCATTCATCTTGAGTATTTCCTTCTTTAGTAAGGACGGGTTTTTCAGGGTGTGCTGTAAAAAGCTCTCTCTCTTCGAAGCGGATTTTTTTTTTTAATTTGGCCTGAGGTCGAAAGAGGGGACGGTTAAAGATTCAGGCGGAGAAAGAAGGCCTGGCCCTAGGAAAGCAGTCCTCACAAATAGCTCAGTGAACACAGGGGGCAAAGATATTAGATGCCTCGGCCCAGGTTGAGTCAGATTCCTACCCCGTGGCCAATGAGGCAGAGATGATCAGTAATCACTTGGTTTTTCTGATGATTTCTTGATGTGTGGGTTTTGCCTGGCCACTTGCCTGTTTCTTTTCCCCAGCTCAGTTCCCTCACCACCCGCCACTCAGGGCTCCTGAGTTACAGAGCCCTAACTCCACACTCTAAACTTTTCTTTCAGATGATACAAGCAATACAAGTACTAAGGTTTCATCTTTTGGAGTTAGAAAAGGTAAGCAGGAAATGATACTCCCCATTTTGATTCAGCCACTTGCCTCTCTCAGTCGATGTCTTCAACAAACCTCCAGTCTGAGGGATGGGGCACCTGGAGGTTTTGAGCAACTTGTTACATTGTCCTTCCTTCAAATCCCTCAACCCAAGGGCTCAGAGGATGGGTGAATTAGGACAGCCCTGGTGTGCACCCCCCACCCCCAGCCCCTGCCCTGCCTTTTCCCCTAGGCATTCAGGATTATTTTGAAATGCAACAAACCATTTGTGTTACTGGACATTCAGCCTGCTTGCGTCTCTATTAGCTTAGCTCACCCTCAGACCAGAGCGCGCATTAGGTCCAGGCAGGGGGAAATCATCCTCGCTGGGCTGCCTTTACATTGCTCTCCAGCTTAGCCACCTTCCCCCCGGAAGCAGGCAAAACTCTGAGCTTATTGAATCGCAAACGCCAATGCCGGTCCCAGTTCCAGCGCTCTAACATTTTGATGTTATCATCAAATTGGGTCCCCCTCCCGACCTCCGGACTCCCAGTCTGAACCCAGTTATTTCTAGTCCCTTCTAGTCCCGTTTCTTCTCTCTTTATTGTAACTTGTTGCTCAGGGAAGTCTCCGGAGAATAATATCTGTTGCAACAATTGCTCTATTGTTTCCTCGCCTTCAAGTATTACACCCATTAATTAGAGTTAGTTTGGAAGGCATTGCACTGTTGCTCTTTCTAAATGTAACCCTGCAACCTGATTTTTTTCCCTTTAAAAATGAAACAAAACAATCACAACAACAACATGAGCTGAACCCTCCACCATGACCCTCCTTTTAGGTCCACGAACTGTGTGATAACTTCTGCCATCGGTACATTAGCTGTTTGAAGGGAAAAATGCCCATCGACCTTGTCATTGATGAAAGGGACGGCAGCTCCAAGTCAGACCACGAAGAACTTTCAGGCTCCTCTACAAATCTCGCTGACCATGTAAGTCTGAGAGCCCTCTGGCATTCTTTTGAGACTACTGGGTATAGCATTTTTAAAAAAGTTGTTGTAACATTTAGCTAAGATCAAACTTAGTGTTTCGGTTTTGTTTTGGTTTGTTTTGTTTTTTAATGATTTGGTCTCTTTGGGGATCTTTTCTCCCTTTCTCATTACCTCTGCCACACCTTTCATCTTCCTTTGCCCTTTCCCGTCCGCCTTCCTCATGTATGTTGAGAACCAAAGAAACCAGGGAGTTGATAGAGTGATTTGTGCTCTTAATGTGTAAAGTTTCCTGGATTTGGTGACTTGAGTGTTAGCAAATTGTCTGTTTGATATGGTGACTGCTGCCTTTTCTGCTTTCCCAACAATGTGTAATCAGTGCGCTAGGGACCCAGAGGCAAGTCAGCTAGTTGGACAGGGTGGGGGACAGAGCACTGAAGGACAAGAGAGAACTGGAGAGGGACTTCCCAGTCCCTCACAGAGATGACAGTCCTGAGAATTATTGGCAATCTTGCATTGCATTAGTAAGGAAAGAAGGAGTGAACACATTACAATTCTCCGAGCTTTTGCTCTGTAGAAACTTATTGTCAGTATATGGACTTATTGCCAAGTGCCCGAAGCATCTTTATAATAAAAGACAGTAACTTTGATGAAACAATTATTAACAATGTATTACAGAAAGCTGAAGGGAATTGCGATTGAGTAACCATAGGTTAGTGGTTGAATTTTAACACTTAAACAGTTGGTGAATGAAGACAGAGTATAGTAAGGAGTGACTGTGTATGTCAGTCCAGGAAGGGAGATTTCTTTCTATTCTCTGTTTTTAATCCTATTTTGGAACCAATCTAGGGAGTCTGATGCTTTAAAAAAAAAGGGGGTGGGGGGAAAGCATATGTAGTGAGACTGAAAATTTGAAAAAGAAGCAAAGAGAAGAAAGATTGCAGCTGGTAGGAAAGGCAAGAGTGGCGAGGTTAAAGAGTGGGTGTGAATAGCAGTTTATTTATAGGAACTCAAGCCTGGGGTGGGGGACAGGGTGTCTATAGATTATATTCCATTGAGCCTACAACCTAAGTGATATAGGCTATAGTCTAATAACTGGCTGGCTGAAATATTAATTTAACATGTTGTGGAGTTAAACAGGCTTTGAGGCTCAAAGGCAGTATGTACCATTACCACCACCATCCACCCCCCCTCCCCACTCCCGACCCATTCCTGGGTTTTAAGAGGAATGGGTTGAGAGGCCTGGAGAATAAACCTTCTGTGAGATTCTTTACCTTTTCCCCACCTCCCGCCCCCCCAAAAAAGTTTTGAAAATATACAAGCTTACATTTTAATTATTAGCCTTTGTACTGTATGGAAAGCCAGGCTAAGAACAAAAGTTAAGAAAGGAAGGAAGGAAGGAAGGAAGGAAGGAAGGAAGGAAGGAAGGAAGGAAGGAAGGAAGGAAGGAAAAGAAAGGAAAAGGACAGAAAACCTCAGTCCTAGTTGTCTGGTTCTGAGACAGAATAAATACTATGGCATTGAAAGTTCCGGTGCCTGTCTTTACTCTTGGCTTTTCCCGTCGCGATGGGGGAACTCTGGGGGCTCTCTTTGTATTTGAGTGTATTAAATAAAATCCAAAGGGTGCAGCAAGCAGCTATGGGAAGCTTACTTGCTGGTATGTGGCAATGTGATGTGTGGTTGTTGTCCACAAGGCGAGACGGTACTTGAGAAGTATTTGTTGTGGTCGTCATTTATTTGTTTATTTTCATAGCTTCCTGTTTCTCAATTCATATGCACTCTGCAGTGTTGGGGGGATGAGAAGGATGCGGTTACCTGACTTGTAGAATGAGGGGTTCACCATTATCTGCAGCCAAAAATGTTTCTCTCGTGACATTTCTGGGGGTCTCGATTACTTGATTTTCTAGAATGGCTTCTTGGCAACTGGTTTCCGAGTGGATGTATGGAGCTAGAGCGTGCTGATGTTTACATAGAAGAGGCTGTTCAGAGGGTTGGCGGAGAGACAGTGCCAGTTCATGAAACCATTGTAATATTTAAATTACACTCAAGTAGTCAGGGGTACCTAAGAGGATAGTGCCTTAATAATTTAACAATCGTCATCTTTGGATAAAAGACTCAACTGTAACATTTGTTGCTCCTCTTTCAGGCCCCCCATCAAATAAAGATGACAACTGATTTATTTTGAACCCACGAGGGCTTGCCACCTCATTGGGCATCATAATTTAAAGCCTTTTATTTCCTAGAGATCTGAACTATAACATTTTTACTTTAGCCCCCCGCTATTTGTTTTGAAAGGAGGCAGTCATTTGTTCCACCAGCACACCGAGTGGGAAATGGCGAGGTTTGCTACAGACTTGAATTTTATGCAGGAGGTGAGAGAAAACCTTGGAGAGTTTTCACCATTTTTGATATTTTTTTGTACCATAGGTATATTGATTATATTCATTTGCAGGCATCTGCCTACAAAGTGAATTCTCTTAGTTTCTGCCTCTCCCGCCAGGGCGCCCTCCCATAACCCCCCACCAGTAAAAAAAAAAAAAAAAAAAATACCGTAGAACTACTACTACCTGGAAAGTGGTATGAGGGGAACATTTTCAGTATGTAAATGTGTCCAATTTGAATCTCCAGGTTTATTTTTTCATTTGCTTTGATATGCATATTTAATACATTGCCCCAGGCTGGATCTCATTTGGTGCACGCTGGTGCAGGGGTGATGATGAACCACTTCAGAAGGACTGAGACAGCGTGTTGTTTTCTCTGTTTTATCTGTTGGCCCACTATTCTGATCTACTGCGCTTCCTCATGGTTTTATTTGCACATGAAATGCCGAGAGCATTTCAACTTATTGGCTATGAATAATGACAGCTAAAAAAGAAGTGTAGTTTAATTTGTTGTGTGCCAAGGTTTCTCTTGTGGAGGTGACAGTTTGTGACAGCTGTTTGACACCCCAAAACACATACACCTCTATACTTATTAAGTGGTATCAAGCTGTATTGTGTGTGTGTGCGTGCATGCGTGTGTGTGTGTGTGTGTGTGTGTGTGTGTTTAAGGAAGGATTGGGCAAGGAGAGAGAGAGTGAAAGAGAGAAAGATTAAGTGTGTAATTCTGTGTAGTAGGAAGCAGAGAGACAAGTGTCAGGAACAAAATATTAGGTGCCAACATAGACTTCTATTTTCTTATTAAAAAATATGAAAATAAAACTGAGTGAAAGTAATTGCTACAAATACCTTGAAAGCAAGTGTCTTTGGCAGACTTTTAGGAATGGGTTTTATATACGATTCCAGAGTGTATCCAGTGTTGTCATGCTGATCTCACATTCTGTAATTTTATGTAAATAATCTGATGTAACATTGCTAAAAAGACAACCATCATGTCTTAACCTTTTGTACGTTACATCCGTTAAAGATACTGAATTCGTTCATTTATTATCGATAGTGGCACAATGGGCATAACAATAAAAGGAAATTCAGAATTAAATAGAGAATCAAATGTGCAACATTGGCTCCTGTTTTATTTTTAGTAAATGCGTAATGAATTTTTTTTATATCATTTTTATATCATAATATAGTTTATCTTATTTTCTTATTAAACATAAGAGTATTTGTTATAGGTAGGGAACAACTGTTAACAGCATTCTTTGGAATAATGGGAAGATCGAAATAAGATAGTGAAAGGAGCAGAACTCCACATTCCAGCTGCAGTTCATGTAAAGTTTCCCAGACATTGAAATTGATTCTGTTTAAAATAAACGTATCAAGAAACCGATTCTTTAAAAAAAAAAAACTTTCACCTTGAAAATTGCTGTGGACTATTCATGCTTTTCCTAGTCTGTAGTATTTCTAATAGGTGATAGCCACATTTTCTACTTTACATAATTTTAGATCAAGTCTTTAGATCCAGTGCAGGCTAATAAAATTTATCTTTACATTTACATTGAAAGATATTATGTATCTTTAGATCAGCATTAGGTAAAGGAAACATATCTGTTTGAAATACATTCTCTGAGCCAAGTTCCATTTGCCTGAAGTGCATATTATTATTCGTAATTAATGTTCATGTGGAGCTACATTTTATTTATTTATTATTATTTGTTGGGAGGAATTAAGTATAGGGAAGAAAATACAACTGTAGTTGTTAACAGTTAGTGACAGGTGCCTTGAAATTGACTGGCTCTGATAATATGATACATAAAAGAAAAAAGTTTTAATTTCTATGTTGAAAGCTGTAACTTAACTGAAGATAGGCTGTTGTTTTCTTTTGCATCTCTGAATCTGTCAAATTATTTTTTCTGTGTATACGGTTTTTTAAAATGGGCTAAGTTGGAGGGGAGAGTCCCCAGAACCTTGTCCCTGACAGAATGCGGGCAAGTGTCCAGAGGTAAATGCTATTAGTACCTGGAAATCTAACAGGGATTAGGCGGTGAGGAAAGGGGTAGGTTTAAGTGATTGGTCTGTAGGATATCAGAGGGGAAATAATGGGATTTGATAATGATATTGATGATACGAATGATTTATTTTGTCAGATAGTTTCTTAAGTTCTAGTATAGGATTAGACCTTACGGTGTGTTATTCAAGGTCTCCAGGGACCCATTCTGGAAAGTTCTCCCTCTGAGTTCTGTACACCAACTCAACATGGCTGGGGTCATGGTGTTCTGTTGTTATTGTTGTATAGCTTGTGAAGGTTGATAGCTCCTATGTCAATTTCCATCAAAAATAATTATGTTATTTAAATCCCTTTGGTTGTGCAGTTTGAAGTATGTTTTCAGTGTAACTGTGATGAGATGAAATCAAACAAAGGTGCACTTGACAACCACTGACATTCACTATCACAGTAAAATTTTGATATTTTAAAATTGATTTCGTAATTTTTTCAGACTGAATGCCTTATGGAATATTCCAACGCAATTCAAAATTATAGGAGACATGTTATAATATGATGGTATATCAAGAAAATAAGAAATTTCTCTCTTTTCTGAAAGTTGCTCCATTTGATGGGGGAAATCCATTTTTTTTTTTTAATTTCGGGATTTGTGTTTGGAATTTGCAAAGAGTACTTGCCACTACTTTGAGAGTTACTGACATATTAATTCCCAAAGCTCAATAGAGGGTGGAAACAAGGAGGTGAGGGAAAGACCCCAGCTCTATTTACATTTTTAAAGAGTCAGTCCACGTTCTGAAAGCATACATGCTTCTCCTGAGTTCTTATGTCAACTTTAGAATAATGAAGTTGAAATTCCAACATTTTTTCAAACTATACAATTAACATTTTAACTTCTGTAGGCGTGAATACCTCATGACATGAGTCTTCATCTGATTTTAAAAAATAATTTTTGATTTTAAAAAATAATTTTTGCATAATGTTAGGAACAAAAATATCGTAAAGTCATAGGAAATATGTAACGTATTCATTATGTATACTGATGCAAGTATATCTTGCCTTTGTTGTTTAAACATATCGAGCCAAATTAGTTTTGCATGCTTTGTTTGCTGGCTAAAATGTCTTTATATATATTTGCTATTGCTTTCTACCTACAAGCACATATTCTGAATCACTTTACCGTATTGTCCAAGTTCACGTATAATTTTTGGCTTGGTGTTATGTATATATCATGTTGTCGTTGTATAGGTTCTAGAAAAGCACGTGCTTATTATAAGTATTTTTTTAATAATAGAAGCAAGAAGTAGGAGTGACCTTAGGGATTATCTTGCCAAACTTCTTAATTTTAAAGAGATAAGGGAAATGAAGTGCATCGCTTGCTTAAGGCCACATGACCAGTTAGAGGTGGCACCCTAGTGTCTTAATTCGAATGCAATGCTTTCTCCTCTGTACCACATCCATTGACTCACCTTCCCATTTAGGGGCTAAGATGAGTTCTAGATTATTTTAGAAAGCACCTGTGCATAGTATGGCTCCCCCACCCCCTTGAATCCTAATACATTTTACTTCCTCATTCAGTTTTGTATTTATTTAGAAGCTCTCATACGTTTCATTCCATTCTTTTTGCAATGAAAGAACCATGAGCTTTGTGGAATCATTGAAACGGGGCAATCCTACCAATTCACCAGGACTTATTAAGTATTTTCCTATGGGCAGGTCCCCGCAGAAATGCCATAATGGTGTAAAATGTTACAATTTCTACCATATCTGCAACTTCAACAAAAAAGGCATACATATGTTTTGCTTCCTATGCCGGGAGACTCCTGTCCTCTCTGTGCTCTTTCCCAGATTTAGCAAAATTCAGGTTGGTGCTAAATCATTTTTTTTTTAATTTCAAGGGAGAAAACACTGGCAGAACTGTGTTTTCTAGGGAAAGCTGTGTGTAAATGAGAAACAGAGGAGAGCAGCAGAGTGATCTCCTGTGGCCCTGCTACTACAAGCTCTCCCCATCTTGTCTCATGCTTTTATATTAATTACAACTTGCATTATCAGCTGTGAGTCTGTAGCCCAGCAAATAGAAAATACTGCCCCTGGAGACCTAGCTTCTTGTATCTATTTTCCATCTCGTTCTATTGTGCTCCACTCAGTATTCACTGCTTTTCTCCTGCTAACACTGCTCTTTAACGCAATTACGTCAGAGCAAGAAAAGTACCATATTTGACTCCCAATTATTAAAGCCACTGGGAATAGAAACATGTTCAGTCCTTGCCCTCGGGTGTCTTCAGGATACTTTGGCTGAAGAACAGGACATATATCGTGGAATGCATATACCTGCGTGCTCACCCCACACATGCACTCAGAGAGCATTTCTCTCTCTTTTCCACATACATCATGTGTTTTACATGCTTTCATATGCCACATTGGTTTCAAGATTCACTAAACTTCTGCATATAATTTGGCAGGAAGCCAGGCAGTTTATTCTTGAAGGATGTAAACTTGGAAACTATCTAGGGAGGGGAAAAAGGAAGAAGAAAGAAGTTGTGATACAAACAAATATTTCAGTCTAAGGGGAAAAAAAACAGTGTTACGGGTAAAGGATTACACTTTATTTGTCCACATAAGTTGTAGTTTTTTATGACCAGGAAGGCAGCAATTTTTTATTGACCAGATTATCAGGATTGTGTCATGTTCACCATTTCACGCGCCATGCCCCGTCTCTTCTCTTGAGAGAAGCCCCCTGGGTCATCAAGTCACCCTGGTGTAGCTGAATGTGAACAACTTTGTGGTGGCTCCTCGGCCCCAAAGCCCCAGAGAGATTCATCTGTTTTTCCTACTTTCAAGTTAAATGAATGCCAGCGTGTTCCTTAGTTTTGATCAGTCTCCCAAACAAGGTCATAATACCTGAGACACTCCATGGAAACCAACATCTTTACGACATTTGTTGGGGACAGCATTTTTGAAAACCTGAAGGAGAAAAAAGAGAAGAAAAGAAGGGGGCATGGTGGGTGAAATGGTGAACACGAGCAGATTCTAGGAATGGGCTGAAAACCAAAGGTCCAGCGCTCTTGGAGACACCAGCTGCTTTTAAAGTAGTATTTGCTGATGTGGCTTCTTTTTCACCCCCTTTACTTATGAAAACACCTCCTCGTCCTCAGAAAACCATTGGAAGAAGTATACTATATTGTAAATTTACAATTACATTTAATGGGGTCTGTCTTTAAAAACTCAGTACAGGTTTGACTGAGGACAAGTCGGTATTTTCGTTTTGCTGCAAGTGCTTTTGAGCAGTTAGTTCAAACCACTGCAGTGCCCAGACAGAAAGACTCGCTCCGGCTTCATTTGAATGATGATATAATCGTTGTTGGATGACATTTACCTTAAAACATAGTTGAGATGTTAGTGGCTAATTATTATAATTTTCGTGAGGGGTGCAGAGCTTTCCGAGCAGCCTGCTTAATAAAAAGCCTGCAGTGCATAAAATTAACATCACTTGCTGTATACACTGAAAAGTTTAGCCTAGGTGAATGTTATACAGTTATTTCCTTTTCTAAAAGAAGGCCCTCGCCAGTGTGGTTGTAGGACTAAACTAATGCCACACTATTGTTTCCTCCCCCGCCCCCCCCCATGTAATTCTTCTAGCTCTTTATCTGATTACCATCCGGCAAACAGCTGACTCGAAGAGGCTGCAAAGCTTGAAGAGCCCCTGTATTCCCTTCGCCTTTAGCTTGAAACTGTTGGAGTGGCTTCTAACTCCGATAAAACGAGAAATCACAGGCATGACTTTGTCTTAATACAGACAGCACAGAACCTTGATTTTTATTTCAGTCTACTCAAATTTGTTCCCTAGTCTACTTTCTAAACTAAAACATATCTTCAGAGATCTAACCCTGTGCTGTATTTATAATCACAAAATTTCTGCTTGGGGTTTCCACTTAGAATCAGTTGCCTGCCTGATGGCATTGCCAGTAGCATTGTTTTGATACAGAGATGACTGATCTATAGAGCTTTGGGTCATTTCGTCATCTTTCCAAAATGCTAACTATTAATTTGCACTCAGTTTGTAGCAGACCTGTAGAGGGGGGGGAAAGGTTTTTTGTTGTTGTTCCAAATAAGAACAGTCCCTATTTTGTCTCCCCATGGCTCCTTGATTTTATTTTGATATAATTTTGTATTCTATATATACATTACAGAGTTGTTGTAGAAGAAAGTGATAGACTGACTTTTTTTCTGGATAAACTATATATAATGACAACATGGCAAGATTGCTTTCAGATGGTCAAGATGTTTGCTTGTTGCCTATAGGCATGTCGGTCTGTCTGAATCCTTATTTACCAATTCTTGTAGGAAGAAATCGTGCACTTTGAGAGATTGATGTTTTTGTTTTATTTTGCCCCTAAAGAATCTCCCTGCCCCCCTCCCCCCCCGCCATAAGAATTTGCTTGCCAGGAGATCTTTGGGCTTAGTTGAAGTCATCACATGCAGGTGACAAGTGTACAGTTCTGGCCTTAAGGCTGGTCTGTTTCATGTGCTGTTCCTACTCTCCGTTTCTGCCAGAGGAAATTCCATCTCTTGCCTGCCTTCATGTGGTGCTGATAAAGTCCTTCCTGTACATTAGAATTCCTGTTTTCCTTTAAGCAACAGCAGGGGATTGGGAATGATCAGGAAAGGGGAGGAGGAACAGGAGAAGAATACACTCAGCAAAGTAGCATGAGCTATAATTTCTCAGTGTGCCTTCCATGTCCTTTGAAACAAGTCATGCTCCCAGGGAAAAAGCACTGCTCTGTGAGTTTAAAGCTTCTGTGGAACTCACATGAAAGTCCCGTCCAGTTGATCACTCAGCTGACACTTCAGAGTTGTTTCATTCTGTTCGTTAATATCACTGTATATATTGGTTGCGTAATCAGCTGATAATTTTCAGAGTTCATTCAGGTTGGTTGAAGGCAATGCATCTGAAAGATGCAAAGAGCTGCCCCATACATTCTTGGATCTGTGGGGTGTTTTTCTTTTTGTTTTTGTTTTTAAGGGAGTCATGACTTTTTTCAATGTGCTGGAATTTAGTGTCCAAGAGTATTGGGCTTCTTTCTTGGGAGAGTGTGCCCCAGTTAAGGCAGCAAGAGTAAAAATGACTTCTAGACTTTTAAGGGGCTTTCCCCCCAACTTTAAAAGTTAACTTTATTGAGGTATAATTTGCGATAATAAAAGACACCCCTTTTATGTGTCTGTTTCAATTAGTTTAAACACATGTATACACAGATGTAACCATCACCTCATCAAGATCCTAGAGCATCTTTTCTTCTTTTTGGTACCTATCGCTGAAAGGACAACATACTGTAGTGTGGGGTCTGTATATGCCTAGGTCCGCAAATACTAATATGTACACATTTTTGTCTTTCTCTGCACCTTTCCTATTGGCTCCTCATTTATGGCTCCTCATTTATGGGAACATTTCTTGGCATCCTGACATCAGAATCCTGCATCTTGGCGAGATCACGACGATGCAACGTCCACCCACTCAGCAGGCACCCCGGGGCCCTCCAGTGGGGGCCATGCTTCCCAGAGTGGAGACAACAGCAGTGAGCAAGGTAAAAGGTCAAGCATTTCCCTTGTGCAAAGTAGCCATAACTAAACTAGCTTCAGTATTTTGTGATATCAGTACTACCTCCCTGTAAATAGGCTAGTGGCAGGTTAGAGAGCTGCTACATTAGTATTTCCTCTCAACTTATGTTACTTAAAAAATATCAAAGTGAGCTGTCTAATCTTGAAGTAGGCATTACAATAACAATTGATTAGTTCTGCCAATTCTTTTGCAAATTTGGTTATCTACACTTTAACTTCTGTGTGGGAGTAAATAGAACGACCAGGCTTCTAGGGCTTCTATTGGCTGCTATTCTGTACTAGTCTGAATTATTCTAGAGGCAGGTTAGTTTGTCTATAATATCAACATTAGGAGTTCTCTGTAATCAGCAGTGATGCCTCTAAAGTACATAAAATGCTCAAACCTGTGCTTCTGAGCTCTGGAAGTACGGTGTGGCTTTTATATGGAATTTTATCTTGGGAAGATGGATTTTGAAATTCTTCGACTGTTTGTCCCAATTTCCATTCACCTGACATGGCGACTTGTGTCACAAATCCTAAAAATTAGAATAATCAGAGGGCAAGGGGGATGTCAACTGCAGATGACAAAGAAGCCTAGTGTCATCCAGAATAAATTTTACCATTGAAAACTCACCTGTTGCACAGAGAGCAATTATACATTGGTGGGGATGTCTCTTCTGTAGCTAAAATGATAATTTAAAGGAAGATGCGTTATTGAATGTGGGCCAGGCAAGTGCATAGATTTTACTTTTTAATATTTTACGTTAGATGGTGTCTGATCTCCTAGGTCTATTTCATCTCTATTATGACTGTGTTTATGGCCACAATATTTAAGCATTAGACAGCCTTCCAAGTGGAGGGCAGTTTAACAGCTTGAGCTGTGGTCGTATATGCCATTTAAAACAGGGTGGTTGATGTAGGGTGAGTGCCTCTACTCCTCCAGGTCTCTGGCCACGGATTTTGGATGACTGGTATTCTAGAAGAGTGTAGAAACATCGTTTCTTCTAGGATGCCATTAACTGTGAGTAGGTCCGAGTTAGAATCTAGGTTTAAGAAATTTGAAACGGATACAGAAGTGAACACTATGATACTGTAAATTGTGGAAGAACTTGCGAATTGTATTTGTTAAGGCTTATATGCTGTCTTTATTAGACCAGTTAGATTGCACATAAGGAAACCAAACTGGAAGGCATTTTGGAGAGGGCACGAACGTAAATTCAGTGGATCTGCAGTGCTATGGCTGAATCGTGGTTCCGTGTCCTGGTGATGGACTTCTCGGCAGGGTTAAATCTGGAAAGCTGTGAATGGCTCCCACCTTCCCCCACCACCCCAAACTGCTGTAACACAAAGGGTGAAATGTATCTATTAATAAAAACAAAACACCCTAAACATTGTGCAAAAGAGGGGGGAAAGAGAAGCAGACTTAATGGTCTAATGAGGCTATCTTCCAAAGACTTGTTGTGTGTGAGGCTCGCTTTGACCTTTCACTTTGCTCAGGAGCCCAGCGCTTCATTTTTCACATTCTTGCAATTACGTTAACGCTTCAAGCATTTCTGACTCCAAGTCAGCTAGCAACACCAGGCATAACTCAACACTGTGAGTTTTTCTCCTCTCTGTAGATTCATTAACAGGTCACGAAGGTCCCAACTGAAATTTAAAACTGGCTGGTTCTGTTGGGTTGGTTGAGTTATGCCAAGGGAGATAGCAGGAAAGGACCAGAGAGAAGGGGAGGGGAGAAAGAAGACCCTGGGGTTTGGAGCTGGGAAGAGTTGCGGCAGCAAGCAAGGCATGGAGTTTTATCAGTTTGGTTAGTTTGTTTTGTTGTTGTTTTTGGTCGGAACAGAGAAGGGTTCTGAGACTGCTACACTGGGTAAAAGCGATACACACAAACCTCTATGCTGTGGGTAGCCGCACCCACTCATCCCATGTTGAAGGATGTGATCCCTGTAGGATTTTGTTCCTTTTATCATATCTCCGTGGGATTAAAGAATGGACATGGTAGCTTATGTGTACGAGAACTAGGAAGTCGGTCATTTTACTGTATTAACACGTGAGGGACAAAACAAGTTATGATTCCTATAAAATAGGGAACGCTTTGACATGGAGAATTTCCTACCTGGCTTACCACATCGGGGGTTCCCAAAGTCATATTTAAGGGTACACTGTTTGTTAACGGCAGACTACGTATTAAAGGCCAGCCTTGGATGTGTTTTGTCAGACTCATGCCCATAGGAGTCTTTTAAGCATGTATTTAAGGTATTGTGAAATTTGGCCCGCCGAATTGTCCATAGTAGCTTTCTGTGGGAAAGATTAATTATCTGCTTCAGGGCAAAGTCAACAGAGATATTGACTGAAATCACATATGCTTATCCTAGGTTAAATCTTGGGGTTGATGTATAATGGAAAAGCTAGGAGGGAAATTTATGTTCTTAGCATTATATATATTATCATGTTTCATTGGAAACCAAGTTGGTAGGTTAGAAAAGAGTTTTCTTGCTTATTCAGAATTTATTAGCACAACAGGCATATGGAAAACTGTAAAACGACTCGGTTTCAAAACAAATTATGATAAACAGGAAAAATAGGGATGAATTGTACTAAATACAATGTTTTCATACACATTTTAAATTAAACTTTAATAGCCATATGCTATAAAACAATACATGCGTTTATGTTGCTTTATATTTTTCGTGAATATTTTTGCAAAAATGATTCATACACATCTTTACTTTGGAACCTAAAAATGCCTCATTTTATGACTTGATAGTGAAAGAGCTACAGTTACACAGGTGAAAGGTCATCTTACTCTCCAGTGTTTGTGCCACAAATCAAATGGGGGAAAAAATCAAATTTGAAAAATACTGTAAGAAACAAACTTGGTAAAATAGAAAACCTGACTTTACTATATCTTTCAAACAGCACATGCCTCGCAGTAAACTCTATAAATATGAACCAGATTTTCATTCACTCTGATTTCTTTTGCTGAAAGCAGCCAAAGAGAGGGAGTTTGTCTTGTTAGTCACATTAGAATGAAGAAAGAAATCTGGTTTTTCAGGGATAGAATTAGGGTACAGACTAGGGACTCTGGGGAAGTAACTGGCCCTCTTTGTGTCTGGCTTCCCATCAGTAAAATGGGGCTTGATAATAAGGCTTGGGGTCCCTAATTCTGTACCTGCTGAGTCAAAAGCTGCTTTGTATTTCATTGTGTTTTTTGCCGGAGTAAAGACTAGGAAGCAGCCCCCTTGTTCGCAGAGCACTTTGAGAGCCTTAGATGAAAGGCACAATATATGTACAAAGTATTATTATTATTGATGGGTTTGTGTAACTCCCATTAACGCTGATGGGAGTTACGCATGTGAATTGGCAAGAGAATAGACCCCTCAGTGTTTAGAGCACATGAAATTTACATTTTTTCCAGTGCTGTAATTGAGATGTTGACAAATTGGGGAATATTGATGAGCCTTTGTTTTAAGTATTTCGTGCCAAGTTTGTTTTATTTTTCCTGGTTTGAACAATGGTATGGGTTCAGCAGCAATGAATAAAAAGGGTAGAGTAAAGATAACTTTGTATTTCAATATTTTGATGTGCCAATATGAAATAAATTGTCTTAGGCAAATGGAATATGCTGTTTTAATCATTAGCTATGCATGAAAGAAAAATTGATGTTGACATCTTTGCTGTAAAATCGTTGTAATGGGGCCTTCCTTACAATTCATTTTTGTAAAATTCATTTTGTACATTTTGCAGCAATTGAACAATCCCTGCACTGTGAATAGGCAGGATTCCCAGAAATACCGAGGCAGTTGGCCCAGTAACTGCTGAGCTCACACTGCACACCACACGCACGTTAACCATACTGTTGCCAGACCCAGTTTAACCTAAATACATTAGCATACTAGCATCTATATGTCTTTAATCTTTCAGGACACAGGGCTTTGCAAGCCTCAATTCTGCCACCTATCAAATCCTTCCGTTGATGTCTTCAACTCTGATCCAGGCAATAGGACTATTATTTTACAGCTAGATATTTATTTATTTATTATGCAGTTCTTTACCAATCATGGTGTTGAAATCTAAAAATACCCCCTTTATATTGAAGGTGTTTAAAGGTAGGCAAGCATCTAAAATAGTATTAACTGTACCTCTGAGTTTGTAATACATACTACAGTTATAAAATAGATTTCTCCCCCACCAAAATATTCCAGTTATACATTTAAAGGAGGGAGGAAAACCTCAAACCAACCTACGGTGGATCCTGAATATGTTCTACTGGGATTTCTTATTCAGTCTAGGAAAACTCCATCAATGGAATGTTTTCATAGTGGCGGCAATTTCTTTAAAATAACCCTAAATACAATATGACAGATGCCATCTGGCATAATCTTTTGCTAGTTGCTTTTAACTTTTATTTTTCCTAGAGCTAAGTTCATCCAAAACTGGTCACTCACTGTTATGCTACATAAATGACAGTTCTTTACTTTCCTGTCTTCCTAATTGTATCAAAAAATTCCCTGAGAATATAATTGATAATCGAACATCCCCACAGAAAGAGCTGTTGTGTATAGAATATTTATGTTGCATTTTTATTCTCTATCCCCCCCCCCCCAATAAAGTCAAAAGACTACCATCCTTCTAACCATCAACAAACATCCAGATAATTTCTGTTGATTTTCTGAGGACTTTTTAGAATAGTAACCATTAGAAATAAAATTAAACTCTTCTAATAAATAAATGCTCCAGGAGCATGTAATAGTGCCCATAAATGCTTAAAAGCTTTCTATAATTGCTGTTAATTTTGAGTAATTTCTTCCTATATGTATCAACTTACTTGAAAAACCCAGAGTTGGGATTTCTAGATTTTTTTTTTAACTTAGTCATGTAAAGGGATGTCTCCTGATGCCAGTTAGAGTTTAATTTAGAGTAGTAATTAAACTTGAATACTGCCTCATAAACAAAAGATAAACAATAAACCAGCCACGTTCCCTGC